TTTTTTTGAAAAACTATAAGTGACATTTTGTTCTTAAAATTAGTTCTTCTATCGATTTCCGACGTTGTTTGAAAAAATGTAATTACACAATTGAAAACTGGTGTCATCAGAATTGTTTTCATTTGAACTTGAGGTTAAGAAGAACCTAGTTCCAAAATTTCATTCAACTCGGAGCACAAGTAAAAAAATTCATAGGTTATACCCTTTTTTCCTCTCCGTTTACTGCACTATTTGGGGTTTACTTACAATTGTGGTTTGATTCCTTGTGGTATTTTCAAAGTGTTGCCTTTTTTGACGTGCTCCAAAACCTGGTTGTTAGACTTCCTTGAAAAGGAAAACTGCCGAATGTCACGATTTCGTAAAGAAGGACTCCATAAGACCAGACGTCGGAGGCTGTTGTGAAAACACCGTCTCCGAGGCTCTCAGGTGCCATCCAACGAACTGGTAACATACCTCTGAAGAACAAAAGAGTGCGCGTAAGGATCACACGCGATTGAAGTAAAACTTATTTGCTACTGTATAAAGTAGCAAATTTAAGTTGAGTAAAAATAAATACATCATATAAAAATTTTGAATAATGTTATTAGTAATATTAGGTAACACTCGTGATGCACACATTGATTGTGTCGTCAATCATTATACACATTTATATAATGATAATTTATAATTTATATATTTATGATTGCATTAAAAATATGTATAATATTTACAAACAATAATGTAATCAAAGTCGTACTTGAAATATGACATGATCGTTTTAAAAGTAATTGCTGATTAATAAATTCTATAATATTCGTTCACACAGTGGATTATGTTAAACAACGCCTAAACAAATATTGTTTGTAACAATTGTGTTTGAAGAACTTCATGTAATTAAAATTAACATACATTCATTTACTGTTTGTATTTTTTTACTTTTTCGCTGACGATATAATCTCATTCCTTGAACAGCTGTAATATCCGTCTTGCCTAACAAATTGAAGCCATACTTTTATATTTGTTTTGTTTATCAAGCCCTGCACATAGCTTGATCTATGAATCATTTGCTTTTTTATGTGAACGTTAATGCAATGATCATCATCAATATTACGAGGTAATAAATTAACCATATTATTAATGTCAACAGGCATATTTATAATTTGGTCAAACATTCCAAATTGTCCATTTGCATGTCGCAATCGTCTAATTGCATGAAACACAACCTAGGTGAAATTAACCTTTCAGATACAATATCTAGTTTAGGTAGAAATTTGGTATAGGTAGAAATACAAACCCGTTAAACTTACACAAAGTGGGAATTTACCCGCATTTAATATCTTTCGACAAGTTTGGACAACCAACCTGATTATTTAATCAATATTCAAAAAACATTATTAAGAATTTGTTTTTGAGCATCATTTGATATTTCTAAGTCACTTTGAAGACAAAGTCGATCACACACAAAACATACATAGCCAAAGCTATCATTTCTTACAAGCGCAGATTTTTTCTTTATTTCATTATTTATTTGCGATCATTTGCACTACGATTATTTATGGGGGACGGGATAAAATATTCTTCCGATCCTGACATTTTTATTAACTCACGAATTATACTGCTAACCCATGTCGCGCCTAAAGAAGTTTTACTTCAAAAAATGTTTAGAGACTACGAGCTAAATAGAAAACTCAAGTTTTTTGTTTTTGACATATGATATGACATTTGATGTATTTTTTGTTTTGCTCGCAGGCTAGATCGAATAACTGCGATAGCTGCGCTTACTAGCGTCGTAGTGTTCAACTTCACGTTGGCGTTTTCGTTGCATTTGTACGGATTTACACCCGTGTCGCGCCTAAAGAAGTTTTACTTCAAAAAACCGGTATAACAGATAAATTGATACTTGTATGCATTAACTTACCGTCTGAGGAATTTATAGTACTCCTTCTCGCAAATTCTTCTGGTCATACCAAAGTCGCCAAGTTTTACCACACGTTGAGCATTTACCAGACAATTTCTGCATGCGACATCCCTGTGCACGTATTTCATTTCTGCCAAATAACTTAGGGCACTCGCGACATCTAACGCCATTTGAGTCAACCTAGGGATAGAAAATTAATTAAGGGAGTCTACTGACGAGCAATAGCAAAAATATACAAAAAAGGGACTCTATTGATGAGCAAAAGCATAGAGAATTATTTATATACCAATAGCTATAATATACAAAAAAGGAACTCTACTGACGAGCAAACTAATCTAGAATTAAAAAGGGGACTCTACTGACGAGCAAACTAATCTAGAATCGAAAAACGGACTCTACTGACGAGAAAACTAATCTAGAATTAAAGAAGGGACTCTACTGACGAGCAAAGGATAAAAAATTAGAGAAGGGACTCTACTACGGACTCTACTGACGAGCCAAAAAATAGAACATTATTACAGGGACTCTACTGACAGTCAAAAGCTAGAAAATTATTAAAAAAGAACTCTACTGACAAGCAAAAGCTAGAAAATTATTAAAAAGGGACTCTACTGACGAGCAAAAAGATAGAAAATTATTAAAAAGGGACTCTACTGACGAGCAAAAGTATAGAAAATTATTAAAAAGGGACTCTACTGACGAGCAAAAGCCAAAATATACAAAAAAGGGACTCTACTGACGAGCAAAAGAATAGAAAATTATTGAAAAGGGACTCTACTGACGAGCAATAACAAAAATATACACAAAGAGGACTCTACTGGCGAGCAAATCTATAGAAAATTATTAAAAATGGACTCTACTTACGAGCAATAACTAAAATATACACAAAGAGGACTCTACTGGCGAGCAAATCTATAGAAAATTATTAAAAATGGACTCTACTTACGAGCAATAACTAAAATAAACAAAGAAGGGACTCTACTAACGAGCAATAGCTAAAATATACAAAATGGGACTCTACTGACGAGCAATAACAAAAATATACACAAAGAGGACTCTACTGGCGAGCAAATCTATAGAAAATTATTAAAAATGGACTCTACTTACGAGCAATAACTAAAATAAACAAAGAAGGGACTCTACTAACGAGCAATAGCTAAAATATACAAAATGGGACTCTATTGACGAGCAAAAGCTAGAAAATTACTAAGAAGTAACAAAATTACAATATTAAATTACAATATTAACAATATTAAAAATATACAAAAAAGGGACTCTACTGACGAGCAAAAGAATAGAAAATTAATGAAGGGACTCTACTGACGACCAAAAAAGGAAAATTAATAAAAAGACTCTACTAACGTGCAAAAGCTGAAATGATAGAGTTCCTTTTTTTGTACATTTTCTATCTTAGTATCTTTTCTTGTCAGTTTTAATTCTAGATTAGTTTGCTCGTCAGTAGAGTCCTTTCAATATTTTTCTATCCTTTGCTCGTCAGTAGAGTCCCTTTTTTGCATATTTCCCCCCCTTATTTATCAATAAATATCCTTTATCTTTATCTTTATCTTACCTCTTGCTGGAAATTTCATCAGCATCCATGCTCTTGTCGTTAACCAAATGTCTTCTTGCCAAAAGATATGTCTTCAAGTCTCCATAGAGCATAAATTCCATAATAGTGTACACAGGCTCATTAGTAGTGCACACACCCAACAGCTTGACAATGTTCTTGTGATCGAATCGTTTCATAGATTCTGCTTCGGAGAGAAAATCTAGTTTTTCTTCGGTGTCTGAACCGATTTTTAGAGTTTTCACAGCAACAGCTGCCCAGCCGTCTTCGAAATGGGCTTCACCACCGTAGACCATACCGAAAGCACCCTCGCCGAGTTTCCTGGAATAATAGATAAAGTAAACATGGTACTTTTTTAACTTTCCGTAGGGTAGTTATAGTAATGGACCGAAAATCGAAAATGAAAATATTTTCATTTCTCGACGTTTTGTAGGTTTCTGAACATTTTTAAGGGACATACCTCAGAAACTAAATGGATGTGTGTGTGTGCGTGTTTTGTATGTCCGCATTTTTAGTACTAAAAAAAGGGACTCTACTGACGATAAAACTAATCTAGAATTAAAAAAAGGACTCTACTGACGAACAAACTTAAACTAGAATTAAAAAAGAACTCTACTGACGAGCAAACTAATCTAGAATTAAAAATGGACTCTACTGACGAGCAAACTAGTCTAGTATTAAAAAAGGGACTCTACTGACGAGCATAATTAATCCAGAATTAAAAAAGGGACTCTATTGACGAGCAAACTAATCTAGAATTAAAAAAGGCACTCTACTGACGAGCAAACTAATCTAGAACTAAAAAGGGACTCTACTGACGAGCAAACTAATCTAGAATTAATAAAAGGGACTCTACTGACGAACAAACTTAATCTAGAATTAAAAAAAGGACTCTACTGACGAGCAAACTTAAACTAGAATTAAAAAAGAACTCTACTGACGAGCAAACTAATCTAGAATTAAAAAAGGGACTCTACTGACGAGCAAACTAGTCTAGTATTAAAAAGGGACTCTACTGACGAGCAAACTTAATCTAGAAATCTACAAAAAGGACTCTACTGACGAGCAAACTAATCTAGAATTAAGAAAACGGACTCTACTGACGAGCAAACTAGTCTAGTATTAAAAAAGGGACTCTACTGACGAGCAAACCAATCTAGAATTAAAAAAGGGACTCTACTGACGAGCAAACTAATCTAGAACTAAAAAGGGACTCTACTGACGAGCATAATTAATCCAGAATTAAAAAAGAACTCTACTGACGAGCAAACTAATCTAGAATTAAAAATCGGACTCTACTGACGAGCAAACTAGTCTAGTATTAAAAAAGGGACTCTACTGACGAGCAAACTTAATCTAGAAATCTACAAAAAGGACTCTACTCACGAGCAAACTAATCTAGAATTAAGAAAACGGACTCTACTGACGAGTAAACTAATCTAGAATTAAAAAAGGGACTCTACTGACGAGCAAACCAATCTAGAATTAAAAAGGGACTCTACTGACGAGCAAACTAATCTAGAACTAAAAAGGGACTCTACTGACGAGCAAACTAATCTAGAATTAATAAAAGGGACTCTACTGACGAGCAGACGAGTATTTCAGTTTGCTCGTCAGCTCATATAATGCAAAATATAGTTTGCTTGTCAAAAGAGTCCTTTTTATTTTCATGTCCGTAAAACACAGTTTATGATTAAAATACTAAATACAAAATTCAAAAAATTACCCAGACTAAGCACAGTCTAAGCGCCACTCTGGTACAAATGTTTACCCAAGCGCGTTTAGAATGTGACTATACTGGAGCGTTTTAATAAATTTTGTGAAAACTATTAAAAAATATGAAAATGCCGCCGAGCTAAGCACAGTACAAGTGAAAATGTCGCACAGAATCATTTGCAAATGCATTTAGAATGTGACTATACGAGAGCACTTTACCAATTTTATTATGTAAATTATACAAATTTAATGTCGAGTTAAAAAAATTTGAAAAAATATGAAAAAATACCCCTGCTAAGCACAGTCTAAGTGACAACCCAGTACGAAAATTTTTGCAAGTCCGTTTAGAATGTGACTATACTGAAGCGTTTTTTATAAATTTTTGTGAAAGCTATTAAAAAATGTGAAAATGCCGCCAAGCCAAGCACAGTATAAGTGAAAATGTCGCACAGAATTATTTGCAAATGCGTTTAGAATGTGACTATACGGGAGCACTTTTCCAATTTTGTGTAAATTAGGCAACTAACTATTTTTTTGAAATTGAATTTGAAACGAAATGACGAGTGTTAATGTTCTGGAAATAAATTGATTTATGGTTTATGATTTACATTTGATTTGCTCATAGATATAGCAAGATAGCATAAATAATGAAAGTTACAGAGTATTTGTAATAATATATTTGAAAACGTTTAAAATTTCTCGAACATTTCGTTACGGTACAGGAAGTTCCAGCAATTTGCCTTAATGCACGATGATATACACCGTGGTTTACATATTGATATTTTTGGCTGTACCTGTTGATGACTACACGATCCCTTGCCATTTCCCATTTGTCCAAACCACCGATGTTCAAAAGATCCAAACCGTAATTCTTCATGTACTTCTGGGACTTCTTCAACTTTTCTTCATACCTGCCGGAATTGCAACACACATTACAACTTATTAATATTTTTTCACTATTTATCCAACTTACCGTTTTCTAATGAAGAACAAAGCTCCTCCGATAATAATTCCGGCAATTCCAAAAATAATCACGTTGACCAAAACGATGGTTTTATTGCAACCCCAGCCTAAGGCTCTGGCGAGCCCTGCAAAGGCACAAGATCTTTCCAAAAAGTCTTCATCGTCGCTGCCGCCGTCACTTGGGATCTGGCCAGAGGGCCAGATTAGGGACGATTCGTCTAGGTTTAGAACACCACCAGTCACCTGGGGAAAAGAATATTAGACAACTAGTAAAATATAAATCTGTGTGCAAGAAAAGTATATAGAAATATGTAAAGTAGTAAAAAGATGGCATCAAAAGACGATTTGGTGAGTTAAAGGACAAGGAGAGGTTGAATTGCGATTCCAGTGAACTTTTTGGTGTCAGCGATAACCCAAAGTCTAGACATACAGAATTGGTATGCCAACGGAAGTCCGGTGTCATGGCTAGAGTAAATGTGTTAACCTGAGGACTGGGCGTACCTTTTAAGAATCCAACGGAAAACCAGTCATTAGAGCAAAGTCTATGTTATTTTTTATTTCTTGTATCCATGTTCAATTACTATCTTTATTGTAGATGTCGTAGGTCACCAGTGTAAAAATATATAAATTAATAGAAGATATTTCTATGTTTTATAAAATTGTGTTAAAATATATAATTATAAAAATATAAAAAATGACATGACATGAATAATTTGTTTTCTATCAAACTCATGGCCTCTTTTATTACCCCAAGTAGATAGTTATTTTACCTGTGCAGTATCTTCCGTGATATTAGGATGAAAGGATCCAATTAACTTTGACTGATTCTTTTGCCACTGCATGATGTGAACAACTGAAAATCTGGATGGACCACCATAGAACTTAATCCTTCCAGAAACACCATTGAAATCCGTTTTCTCTATTATCTCCATCAATTGACTGACAAAGGAAAAAACAACAGTTTATCAAAATCATTTTAACCAAGTTATAGTAATCGCAAATAAATCGAAAAAGAAAATTTTTATATATCTTCACGTTTCAAAGGTTTCTGAACATTTTGGCATACCTTAGAAAAAATGTATGTATGTGTGTGTGTGCGTGTATGTATGTATTTGCGGATACAAATTTTTGTCGACGATTTCGCGAACACGGATTAACCGATTGGAGTAATTCAAAAAACATTCGATTCCTAATGATGGGGAGACGTGCTGATAAGTTTTTGGCGAAGGCAAGTCTAGCCGTTCCGAAAACAAATTGAAGTCTTTATAAGGAAGTTCAAATACTTCATTTATCGGATATTTTATAGAGATTTTAATAATGTGTAATTTTATAGAGATTGTAATAATTTTTGTGGGGGTTTTGCTCGTCAGTGGAGTCCCTTTTTAATAATTTTCTATCTTTTGCTCGTCAGTAGAGTCCCTTTTTATGAATTTTCTATTCTTTTGTTCGTCAGTATAGTCCCTTTTTGTATATTTTCTATTATTTGCTTGTCAGTAGAGTCTTTTTTAATAATTTTCTATTTGTTTGCTCGTCAGTAGAGTCCCTTTTTATAAATTTCCTATCCTTTTACTCGTCAGTAGAGTCCTTTTAATAATTTTCTATCCATTGCTCGTCACTAGAGTCCCTTTTTTGTATATTTTCTATCTTTTTGCTCGTCAGTAGAGTCCCTTTTTAATAATTCTCTATCCATTGCTTGTCAGTAGAGTCTCTTTTTTGTATATTTTAGTTATTTCAAAGTTTAAAGTTTAGCTTTTTTAGTTATATAAAAGTTTTTTTATAAAAAACAAAAATATTTCGAAATTTTCAAAAAAAAAAATTGAATATATTCAAAATTTCCTAAATTTCGAATAAACAAATCCAAAAAATTTATTTTTAAAAAATTTTAAAATTTGGAAAATAATTTATGTAATTGTTCGTCAGTAGAGTTCCTTTTTGTATCATTCTCATATCATTTGTTTTTATCATATCATTTGTTTTTATTAATTAGAGATTTTTTGTCAGTAGAATTCTTTTTTGTTTCATGATAATAATTCATGAAGTTGCTCGTCAGCAGAGTCTTTTTTAATAATTTCCAATCCCTTTTGCTCGTCAGTAGAGTCCCTTTTTAATAATTTCCTATTCTTTTGCTCGTCAGAGTTTAGTAGAATTTTAAAAAAATCAATCTAACAAAAAATTCCAAATTCTCGATTAAAAAAAATCCAAAAAATTCTCAAAATTCGGGGAAAAAGTTCAAAATTATCAAAAAAAACTAATTAAAAAAATTGAACAAATTTAACAAAAAGTAGTTTGTTTTGCTGACACTGCTTACATCTAATTACAAGAACCACCTTGCTGATAGAGCATATTTTTACCTATAAAAGATCCGAGATCTCTATGCTCGTAGAGCATTATTATACATAACTTATACCAGTACATATATCAGTTCAGTTATTTAATTATTATTCATTATATTATATTATAAATTTGAAGTATTTAATATATTAATTGTAATTTTTAAGAAATAAAGTTTTTTTGTTTTATCTCAAATAACGAGAATAAAACTAGGCACAAACTTTTTTTTTACCTTGTCGTGTTCAATGAGTGCATCTGCGCAATAGCCATCGGGTTCTTTCTGGTCAACTCGTGCAAGGCCAAAGCATATGTCCAAACAGCATCGTAGACATAACCTGCATAAACACTTTCCTGGACTCTCCTTCGAGCACATCTGGCCTGGTAGGCCCTTCGCCACTCACCAACAGTCCTGCCTTCTTGCATTATTTGATCATCGGGAGCAAAAAAGGCATGGGTAAGGGACAGATGACCTTCTATAGCCTGCAAGGAAGAATTTGATAGTAAACTAGTGGTGTATTTAGATCTAAAAAATAAAAAAGGGACTCTACTGACGAGCAACTTTAAAATGTTAAAAGGAAAAGAGACTCTACTGACGACCAAATTAAAATTCTAATACAAAAAGGGACTTTACTGATTTGTAATGGAAATACAAAAAGGGACTCTACTGACGAGCAAATTAAAATGCCAATACAAAATAGAACTCTACTGACGATCAAATTTAAAATGTCCATAAAAAGAGGACTCTACTGATGACCAATTATACAAAAAGGGACTCTATTGACAAGCAACTTTAAAATGTCAAAACAAAAAAAGGTCTCTACTGACAAGCTAATTTAAAATTTTAATACTAAAATAAAACTAGTGGTGTATGGCATCGTGCCTTAAGGCAAATTGCTGGAACTTTCCCTACCGTAATGAAATATTTGAGGAATACTGAATGTTTTCAAATATGTTATTACAACTACTGTAACTTTCATTATTTTTGCTATCTGGTTTGTTATATCTAAGCAAATCAAATGTAAATCATAAATCGTAAATAAAAAAAAATAGTTGCCTAATTTGCACAAAATTGAAAAAGTGCTCCGGTATAGTCACAGTCTAAACGCCTTTGCAAATAATTCTGTGCGACATTATCACTTATAATGTGCTTGGCTTGGCGGCATTTTCACATTTTCACAATTCATTCATTCATTCATTCAATATTTTTCACAAAATTTATAAAAACGCTCCGGTATAGTCACATTCTAAACGCACTCGGGTAAACATTTGTACTAGAGTGGCGCTTAGACTGTACTTAGATTGGGCTAATTTTTTTAATTTTTGTATTTAGTATTTTTCATCATCATCTGTATTATACCAGACATGAGAAAAGAAAAGGACTCTACTGACAATCAAACTATATTTTGCATTATATGAACTGACGAGCAAACTCGTCTGCTCGTCAGTAGAGTCCCTTTTTTAATTCTAGATTAAGTTTGCTCGTCAGTAGAGTCCCTTTTTTAATTCTAGATTAAGTTTGCTCGCCAGTAGAGTCCCTTTTTTAATACTACATTACATTTGCTCGTCAGTAGAGTCCCTTTTTTAATTCAAGATTAAGTTTGCTCGTCAGTAGAGTCCCTTTTTTTAAACTAGATTAAGTTTGCTCGTCAGTAGAGTCCCTTTTTTAATACTAGATTAAGTTTGCTCGTCAGTAGAGTCGCTTTTTTAACTGTAGAATAAGTTTGCTCGCCAGTAGAGTCCCTTTTTAAATTCTAGATTTAGTTTGCTCTTCAGTAGAGTTCTTTTTTAATTCTAGATTAAGTTTGCTCGTCTGTAGAGTCTCTTTTTAATTCCAGTTCAAGTTTGCTTGTCAGTAGAGTCCTTTTTCTTTAGATTTTTATATTCAGTTTGCTCGTCAGTAGAGTCCTTTTTTTGAATTTTTATATTCAGTTTGCTCGTCAGTAGAGTCCTTTTTATTTTGACCAAAATTACATAAGCTTGCTCGTCAGTAGAGTCCCTTTTATATTTTTTGACCAGAATTAAGTTTGCTCGTCAGTAGAGTTCTTTTCCTTTAGATTTTTGGATTCAATTAGATCGTCAGTAGAGTCCCTTTTTTAATACTAAAAATGCGTACACATACACACACATCCATTTAGTTTCTGAGGTATGCCAAAATGTTCAGAAACCTTGAGAACGTCGAGAAATGCAAAAATTTTCATTTTCGATTTTCGGCCCATTACTATAACTTACTCTACAAAAAGTTAAAAATTGTATGAAGAGACTAGAAGTGTGGTAAATACTCACCTCAAGCATTTCTTCTTCTGTGCAAGATATGTTTTCCTTATTGCCATTATGCAAAGTTGTGTTCCACCAGCCAGTGGTTAACCAGGTTGGTAAAAACCAGACATAACCATCTTTGGCAGTCATTCCGAGTCTTAAGGATTCGCACATAATGGCCCTTGCTACTGGATCGTAGACATCGGCTATTATAATTTTTGCTCTACGTTTTTGCAAGTCTAATAGATACTACAAATATAAACAAGTCAGTTATATACTAGTATAATTGCGTTTGGTCAACTGTTTTTTTTTAATTAATTAATTATCTTGGCATCTGGGTACATCCTTATTGCCATAATAACATAATTACAATTAATAATATCTAGAGCTAATATTAACTAAACTCGTTTTCTACTTTTACATGTCTAATTTACATGTTTTTAAATAATCTATTATAATATTATATTGTAATCTAAGGAGTTGGGAGATGCTTGATATTATCTTCAGAAATATACCATTTTAACGAAAATAATGAAATGAACAAAATAATGTCAACAAAAATCTTAATAAATCGGTGTTTTATAAAGTGTTCTAGGAACAATATTAGGCTAGATATGAAAATAGGGTTTTATAGTGCTCAAAATACGCTCTAAAATGAGTACTTCTGCGTTGAAATAGTTTATGAGTGGCATTTCCACCAAAATTAAAAATAATCGTATTCCATCTAGAATTAACTTGGTTTGAGGATCTTGATGGATTCTAGAAAATACCATAACTTTAGTACAAACGATTTTCAAAAAGCTCGCGATTTCATAAAAAAAATCCATTAAAAAAACAACCAATTTCTCATTATTATATCTCTGAAATTCAAGGTCTTTTTCTGACTAATTATTGCTTTTTATTATTTTTCTATTACACAAATATTGATAGAGTTATGATTGTTTAAAGAGTGCGCGGCTGTCCAAACAGAGTGCCTTATTTAATTTGCTCGTCAGTAGAGTCCTTTTTCTTTAGATTTCTAGATTCACTTTGCTCGTCAGTAGAGTCCTTTTTTCTTAATTTTCTGGATTAAGTTTGCTTGTCAGTAGATTCCTTTTTCTTTAGATTTCTGAATTCAGTTTGCTCGCCAGTAGAGTCATTTTTTATCTTCTAGGTCAGCATTAAAATTGCTCGTCAGTAGAGTCTCTTTTTAGTTTGTTTGTCAGTAGAGTCCTTTTTTCTGGTATGCTTCTATTTAACTTGCTCGTCAGTAGAGTCCTTTTTTATCCTCTAGGTCAGCATTTAAATTGCTCGTCAGTAGAGTCTCTTTTTAGTTTGCTTGTCAGTAGAGTCCTTTTTTTCTGGTATGCTTCTATTTAATTTGCTCGTCAGTAGAGTCCTTTTTCTTTAGATTTTTGGATTCAGGTTGCTTGTCAGTAGAGTTCTTTTACTTTTTATTTCTGAATTCAGTTTGCTCGTCAGTAGAGTCCTTTTTTATCTTCTAGGTAAGCATTTAAATTGCTCGTCAGTAGAGTCCTTTTCTCTGGTATGTTTATATTTAAATTGCTCGTCAGTTGAGTCCCTTATTTCCATGCTGCGATTTAGTTTGCTAGTCAGTACAGTCCTTTTTTCTGGTATGCTTCTATTTAATTTGTTCGTCAGTAGAGTCCTTTTTCTGGTATGCTTTTATTTAATTTGCTCGTCAGTAGAGTCCTTTTTTATCTTCTAGGTCAGCATTTAAATTGCTCGTCAGTAGAGTCTCTTTTTATTTTGCTTGTCAGTAGAGTCCTTTTTGCTTGTATGCTGCTATTTAATATGCTCGTCAGTAGAGTTTTCAAGAGAATTATTGTTTTTACCAGAAAATCCGATTTGCTAATTTGATGTTTTTCAAATTATTCTGAATTGAAAGAGACCAAATTTGAAAAAAAATATGCTTATGTATGTGTAAACTTACATACTAAAGTTTCAGTATTTGGATTCTATTTAGAAAGACCTTTCAAATGATACCCCACATTTTCGAAGTGAAACTTCTTTAGACTCCTCTGCTACAAATTCGTCAAAAGCGTATAATAAAAAACTAATAACCTTTAGCCGTTTTAAAATAAGAGAAGTTACGGCAAAAATTATGATAGAGAAAGTTGTAGGTCATTTAATTATCTTTAAAATAGTATATTGCAAGTTCTGATAAAATCAGAATTAAAAAAGTTATAATCAAATTAATGCCGGGGGGTGGTGACGGAGTGCAAATTGTTTTTATATATTTATATTTATCATCAACTGTGTATTTATGTTATATGTTTTTTTAGATTACTGAATGATGACACACATCAAGTGTCGAAACGTTTAATGGAATAAATAATTTTGTTATTTAATCTTTTTTTAATTCGACGGGTTGGGCTGCAAAAATATTACTCATATAATAATATATATATATATATATAATATAATATATATATTATATATATTAGGTTGTCAAATATCTCCCTTCCGCCTTTTTGCATTATAACCAAGAGCAAAAAAGCGGAAGGGAGATATTTGAACAACCTAATATATATATCTTGTTGGATTTGAATTTTTATCACTTACCCTAGTCATTGCAGAATGTTCACGTTCTTTCGGAAACTTGGCATTTGCTATAAGCTGCACATTGTTTTCCTGCAAAGTCTGTTCTAAATGTGGAATATACTCTGAATATTTTTGTCCTTCTTCTGTTAACGAAGCAACACGACGCCAACCCAAAAGTTGCATCAATTTTAGGTAAACGTAGACGTACTGTTTGTTCTCTCCAATTGTACGAAAGAAGTATGGATACCTAAGGAATAAATCTTGCTAGTAAATATTTGTTAAAGGATTGTATTAAGAGGCACAACTAGTGTAACTGCCTAAAAGGAAAGTGATTTTTGGGAATTTATATTAAAAAAACTTCTTTATTAAAGAATTCAAGATTTTAGGAATATGTTTACACATGTTTTAAGACTACATAGTAAAATTTTTGAAGAAAAAAATTAAATATTTTTTAAGTTATCGTCGATCTCCAACGGCGCGACAAAAAAAAAGACCCTTCACCGCTGCAGAGATTCCGGCCTTCTACGTAAAAGAAATTTAAAAAAAAAATCTCGTTAAACTAGATAAATTTGTCTGTAAAATGAACTACGATAAAGAAAAAAAATCAAAAATTGTCAAAATGACGGCGTTATTTTTTTTAAAAAAAAGTCGAATTTTACCCAAAATTTTGGTCGTTTTTGGACTGCCAAAATTCGATTTTTGATCCGATCAAAAAATCGATAGTTCATTTTACGGAGAACTATATATAGAACATGTAAAAAAAGAGTGCGCGTAAGGTTCACACGCGATTGAAGTAAAACTTATTTGCTACTGTACAAGATGGCATTTAAGTAAAAATAAATACATCATATAACAATTTAGAATAATGTTTATATAGTAATATGGTAGGTAACACTCGTGATGCACATATTTATTAGTGTCGTCAATCATTGTACACATTTATATAATGATAAATTAAAAATTAAATATCTATAATAGCATTAAAATATGTATAATATTTAAAAACAATAATTTAATTAAAGTCATACTTCAAATACGATATGATCGGTTTGTCATTGTAATTAGCATTTAGAAACGAACCTTCATTTAGAAACGAACCTAGATTAGAGTAAAAATTGTGTTTGAAGAACTTCGTGTAATTAAAATTAACATACATTCATTGATTGCTTGTAATTTTTTTACTTTTTTCCAGACGATATTCAATTTGCACGTCAGTAGAGTCCTTTTTTATAACTTTGCTCGTCAGTAGAATCCGCTTTTCAAGTCTCTTTTTCAAGTAATTTAATATTAATAATTTTGCTCGTTAGTAGAGTCCCTTTTTTGTCTTTTAAATCAATTTTGTACATTTCTATCAAGTTATTTGATCAGTTGTCAGTAGAGTACCTTTGTCTTTTTTATCAATTTTTAGTTTGCTCGACAGTAGAGTCTTTTTTATATTTACGAATTTCAAATTTGGTCGCCAGTAAAATCCATTTTTAAATATTTTATATTAGAATTGAGTTTGCTCGTCAGTAGAGTTCTTTTTTAGAGACATTTCTTATTCATATTTTGCTCGTCAGTAGAGTCCTTTTCTTTTCCTCTAAATTGAAATTAATTGATAATTTGTTTGTCAGTAGAGTCCCATTACAAACATTTTATTAAAATTGAGTTTGCTCGTCAGTAGAGTCCTTTTCTTTTCCTCTAAATTGAAATTAATTAATAATTTTGCTTGTCAGTAGAGTCCCATTACAAACATTTATTAAAATTGAGTTTGCTCGTCAGTAGAGTCCTTTTCTTTTCCTCTAAATTGAAATTAATTAATAATTTGCTTGTCAGTAGAGTCCCATTACAAACATTTTATTAAAATTGAGTTTGCTCGTCAGTAGAGTCCTTTTCTTTTCCTCTAAATTGAAATTAATTAATAATTTGCTTGTCAGTAGAGTCCCATTACAAACATTTTATTAAAACTGAGTTTGCTCGTCAGTAGAGTCCTTTTCTTTTCTTCTAAATTGAAATTAATTAATAATTTGCTTGTCGGTAGAGTCCCATTACAAACATTTTATTAGAATTGAGTTTGCTCGTCAGTAGAGTTCTTTTTTAGAGACATTTCTTATTCATATTTTGCTCGTCAGTAGAGTCCTTTTCTTTTCCTCTAAATTGAAATTAATTAATAATTTGCTTGTCAGTAGAGTCCCATTACAAACATTTTATTAAAATTGAGTTTGCTTGTCAGTCTTATAGAACTTACTGTAATATTACGGCCTTACGACAGGTAGTTTAATTTTAAAAATTTATCAAAATTTGAGAAAATGAGTAGTTTTGTTGACGTTTGTTAAAATTAAAATTAGATGATTTACTTGGTATAACAATATAGTACTTGGTCTAAATAAACGTAATAAATCATTGAAGTCCTATGGAAACTGGTTCAATTAAAAAATTATTGATTTTTGAAAATTTGCTTTTATAAAATACTACGAGTTAACGTGTTCGTTCGTTTTCAATTATGTGTAATAAATCCACTCATAAATTAATTTATATTTTATTGATTAAGTCGATTATTTACATAAATCGGGAAGTTCATATAACTTGCCTCAAGGCTAAATACCAAACCAACAGTTTTAAAAGTATAACCTATCGAAATATGGAAAAATTGAAAATCCGATTTTTTGAAAATTTCACACTAACCAAGTGTACTTACTTTTCCCTGTCGGAAAAAGTGGCTCCTTCAGCACTATAAGACACAACAAGTGTGTTATAGTGTTTAGAGACTCCTGCTAAAGCTTCTAGGGTATCTGAACAAGCTGGCCCCAAAACGCCAACCAAATGCTCGTAATATTTTTCCACAATGTAGTCTATAAAAGTCTTCAGCTCCAAATCTGCTTTGCATTGGCCGTCAGCTGCCAGAATTTCCAATTGGTAATCGGGAAGAATCGTCGCGTTTTTACCAATTGCTTCTTGGGCCATGGCTGCACCAACCACAATACCTGGGAAAAAGATATTGATTATATATATATATATATATATATATATATATCTTATATATAAAAATGGAGCTCTCTTTCAAATGTCCAAGTAAAACTCGAAAACGGCTAAACCGATTTGGCCAGTCTTAGTCTTGAAAAATTCGTGCTAAACAGTAGGTTGTCGGAAAGGTGAGTAATTATTTCAAATCCGCGTAGAAACTTCACATTTTTAATTTGAAAATTTTTGTAAAAGCGTAATTTAAAATAAAACAATGAACGGTGGCTAATACGTCAAATGTCAAACGTTTTTGACAGATGATGTTCAATTACGTTTATTAAGATGTTTTACGTGAATATTATTTAATTATGATTAAATTGTAGTTAGTAGTTCTGTTCGTAGTTTTATTTATACACAAAAACGTTATTAAACGAATCGCAAGTGTTACTAGAAACTCAAAATATTAACTTTTTTGAAATGTTAATATGAAAATGCACTTTTTGGCATATTTTTCTCAAACACGGTGCTCTGAAAGATCTCATTTGCATAATTATATACTCATTGGTATTTATAAAACATTTTCTAGGTTATATTATTTTTTATTTATGTTATTCAAATTCAGAACCTAAATTTGGAATCGATCAAAGGTACATTTTGTCGAATAACATTTTCCCAGTTATAATTTCCCAGAATTTATCAAAAAATAGATAGTAATATATGAAGGTCCAGAGTTAAAAAGGTCCACCACCTATGTGTCAAAAATTAGTTGAGTTAAGCATTGTTTAGCAACGATATTTGAAAGTAGAGGGAAAAAGATGTATAACCAGCTATAACCTTGATTTTAAAGTTTTTGTCGATTTTCTCAGAGTCCATGTCTCTGATCCATATAGATCTAAGCCCCAGCATTTCATTAGTTTTTAACATTTATGTTTATACTAGCTGACCACTACCCTGTAAAGTATTTCTAGAAAATTTCTAGAGTGGCAAAACAAACAAAAAACTAAACTAGAAGATAACGAAAGAACTCTACTGACGAGCAAATTGAATATAAGATTAGAAAATAAAGAAAGGACTCGACTGACGAGCAAATTGAATATAAGATTAAAAAATAAAGAAAGGACTCTACTGACGAGCAAATTAAATATCGGACTATAAAATAAAGAAAGGACTCTACTGACGAGCAAATTAAATATAAGATTAGAAAATAAAGAAAAGACTCTACTGACGAGCAAATTAAATATCAGACTAGAAAATAAAGAAAGGACTTTACTGACGAGCAAACTTAATATCAGAAAAGAAAATAAATAAAGGACTCTACTGACGAGCAAATTTAATATCAGAAAAGAAAATAAAGAAAGGACTCTACTGACGAGCAAATTGAATATCAGAAAAGAAAATAAATAAAGGACTCTACTGACGAGCAAATTTAATATCAGACTAGAAAATAAAGAAAGGACTCTACTGACGAGCAAATTGAATATTGACCTAAGATATAAAAAGGACACTACTGACGAGCAAACAAATTAGCAGTCTAGAAGATAAAAACAAACTTACTAAAAGCTTTAGTATTGACCTGAAATATAAAAAGGACTCTACTGACGAGCAAACTGAGTCTCAAAATAAAATGAAACTAGTGGGGCGCATGGCATCGTGCCTTAAGGCAAATTGCTGGAACTTCCCGTACCAAAAATTATTTTTTTCAAAAGATCAACATGGTTTGGTTTTCATAATATAGTTTATATTTGATCAAAGTCAACTTGGACCTTTGTAATACCTAATTGTATAGAAGATTCAAACAACACATCTGTTGAAGTTTGATACTAAACGCTCTATGCCTACTCTATGTTTATGTATAAATGTTTCTCTTTTGTTTTGTGTCAATATGAGATTGTTAATCATATTTGTAATGTTTGTGATTAATTAAAGAATATATAATCAGTCAGTCTGTTTTTATCCTTCTGCATAAACGCTTGTATTATTATTATTCACATAAACTTTTAATATAAATTCTACAACATCCTTATACACTTAAAGTATTAATATTTTTGATTCTCTAGGAATTGTTTAGAATATACCTTACTTAGCAAAACGTTTGCCGGATCAGCTAGTATATATATATACTAGCTGACCCGGCAAACGTTGTTTTGCTAATTAAGGTATATTCTAAACGATTTCTAGAGAATCAAATATATTAATACTTTAAGTGTATAAAGATGTGTCGTTTGAATGCTATTTTCAATGAGGTATTATAAAAACAATAAACCCCATTCGTTTGTCTATATTTTGTCTGAAGTTTCATACACTTTCTATAGGAAACATGGTATAATCCAACCCAAGTCTTATTTAGTCTTTCGACCAATTGATTCCGTTTCAAGTTATTGAGATTCTTTTTGGATTCTGCATTTTGTGTATAATTGTAAATAATACTACTGAGCTTATACAAAATTTTCAAATTTCTGCGAGGGGAGATAGAAAATGAATTAAGTGTTTCTTCTTTGACCTGCTTTTTGAAAAGTTTCAAGTAACATTCGATGAATTAAAGTAAATTTAATAAAAAGTATATATGTAGAGCAGGGCGAGGCACAAACGTCCAATATGACTTTGAGTAAATATAAATTATGTTATGAAAATCAAACCAATTATATCACAACAAATGACACGTATCAAACGAACAATTATCTTTTTTTAATCTTTTAGTCCGATGTTCAATTTGCTCATCAGTAGAGTCCTTTCTTTATTTTCTAGTCTGATATTCAATTTGCTCGTCAGTAGAGTCCTTTCTTTATTATCTAATCTTATATTTAATTTGCTTGTCAGTAGAGTCCTTTATTTAATTTCTAGCCTAAGGATCAATTTGTTCGCCAGTCGAGTCCTTTATTTATTTTCTAGTCTGATATTCAATTTGCTCGTCAGTAGAGTCCTTTTTTTATCTTTTGGTCTAATATTTAACTTGCTCGTCAGTAGAGTTTCTTTTTTATTTTTTGGTCTGATATTCAATTTGCTCGTCAGTAGAGTTCCTTTTTTATTTTTAATTTTGCTTGTCAGTAGAGTTCCTTTTTTATTTTTAATTTTGCTCGTCAGTAGAGTCTTTTCGTTATTTATAAATATATTATATTTTTAAATATTTTTCAAAATACTCATCAAACCGTGGACTTGCAACTATTGGAAACTAGATATGCAAGTGTGCATTTGTTTACAAAATTGCACATTTATAGCTTTTTTTGTAAGAAGCATATGTGATTTTATATTTTTATAATTGAGTGCATATATTAGGTAATGACATACCAAAATTTTATAGCTCTAGTATAATATTGTATATTTTTAAAATATTTTTCAAAAGTACTTCTCATATCAAGTCCAACCGCCTATTCGCAACTAATAAAAATAGAGTATGCAAATGTGCATTGCGATTTTTTAGTTTCTTCTGTTAGAAACGTATTTGATTTTATTTTTTTATAATTCAGTACACATATTAAAAAATGACATACTATAATTTCATAACTGTATTACAACGCTTTTTATTTTTAAAATATATTTCAAGCCGTCAATTTGTTTACGTCAAAATGTTTACTAACATTGTACTAGTTTATAAAGCCAATAAATCATAAATAAAAAAAAAAACGTTTTTGTATATAAATAAAAAAAACAAACAAAACTACTTACTACAATTTAATCACAATTAAATAATATTCACCTAAAAAAACATTTGACATTTGACGTATGAGCCACCGTCCATTGTTTTATTCAAATTACGCTTCTACAATAATGTTCAAATTAAAAATGTAAAGTTTCTACGCGATTTTGAAATAATATCTCACCGTTCCGACAATTTACTGATTAATACGAATTTTTCAAGACTAAGACTGGCCAAATCGGTTTAGCCGTATTCGAGTTTTACCGAATCATTTGATCGAGAGCTCCATTTTTATATATGTTATATATATATATATATATATATATATATATATATTACTTTTTACCTCTTGCCTTATAAGAGCTGCCAGATAAAGGAAAAATGCCTCCAATATAAATCTTTTCCTTCACCACGTTGACTTCGTGCACCAGCCATTGCGACCAGATTTGTTTTCCGGTTCTCATCCAATCGCAGGCTGCTTGTTCAGCGTTTTTTAAATGCTGATAGGATTTTAAAAGTTTTATCAAGTCTTCTCTGGAAAATTTGAAATTCTGCAAAGCTGCTGCAGCATGTGGAGATCTTGCTGATAGGCCTGACCAGGAAAACTTTGCTACTCTTGCTGGATCGTAAATGCAATCTGGGGAGGAAAATTTAGGATTAAGAATAATGAATAATGATTAATTGTCATGGCAACGCTATCTTATCCTTAGTTAGTGAAAGTCTAAAAATGGAAAATTTCGTTACGGTACGGGAAGTTCCAGCAATTTGCCTTAAGGCACGATGCCATACACCCAACTAGTTTCTCATATTCATCTTTCATGTTTATAATAATTTGCCTGTCAGTAGAGTCCCTTGTTCATTTTTTAGATTCAAATTTAATTTGCTCGTCGGTAGGGTTTTTTTTTTCTTTGCTCGTCAGTAGAGTCCTCTTTCTTCTTTGCTCGTGAGTAGAATCCTTTTCTTATTTTCGCATCTTAGTTGTCCTATATTTTTTATTTTTTATGTTTTTAATAATTTGCCCGCAACTAGGTTTTTTTAAAATAAAATTTTATTTACTCGTCAGTAGAATCCGTTTTCTTCTTGCGTCCACATACAGTTTGCTCGTCAGTAGAGTCCCTTTTCATTGTCTCTTCTTTATTGGACTTTCTTTTTTATTCTCTATGTTTTTAATAATTTGCTCGTCAGTAGAGTCCCTTGTTATTTTGTTGTATCGAAATTTAATTTGCTCGTCAGTAGAGTCCTTTTTTTCTTTGCTCGTCAGTAGAGTCCTTTTTTATTCTACATCTAATTTGAGATTCAATTTGCTCGTCAGTATAGTCTTTTTTCGTCTTCTAAGTTAAAAATTAATTTGCTCGTCAGTAGAGTCCCTTTTTAATCTCCTTGCCTAAAATTTACAGTACAGTCTTGTGTTTTTTCTTCTGATTGCTTGTCAGTAGAGTTCTTGACAGTATCACAAATGGATAAAAAATTATTACATCTTTTTTTATTTTCCATAAAATATTTTTGTAATTTTGGATTAAAAATTCAAAAAATTACCCGGGCTAAGCACAGTCTAAGCGCCACTCTGATACAAATGTTCTCGCCAAATGCGTTTAGACTGCTTATGTAATGGAATACTTTTCCAGTAATTTTGTGAAAACTATTGAAAAATGTGAAAATGCCGCCAAGCTGAGCACGGTATAAGTGAAAATGTCGCACAGAATTATTTGCAAATGCGTTTAGACTGTGACTGTAAGGGAGCACTTTTTCTAATTTTGTGTTAAATTAGGCAACTATTTTTTTTATTTACGATTTATGATTTACATTTGATTTGCTCAGATATAACAAACAAGATAGCAAAAATAATGAAAGTTACAGTATTTGTAATAATATATTTGAAAACGTTTAAAATTTCTCGAGTATTTCATTACAGTACGGGAAGTTCCAGCAATTTGCCATAAGGCACGATGCCATACACCACTAGTTACTTACTTGAATTTATGAAGGATGAATACTGTTCGCAAGATGGTAAAGTTATTGATGGTGTTCCTGGTAGAATCATTTCACTGGGTGCCCAATAAAATACTAAAATATTAGAAGGGGTTCTTTGGGATGTTTTTAATAGTTTCACAGCTTTATTGAGGTTTTCTCCTAACCACAAAATCTAAAAATAGATATAGATTAATGAGGCTTAGGATTAATTAACATTCTTGCTTGTTACTTGTTAGTGAATATGTGAAAATATATATCTATTTGCTGTGCCGTCAGGCGTATTTTACACATAAACAAACAAAGAAGAATGTTTGAAGATTCTGTTATCATAACATTCTTCCTTGCTTGTTTATATGTAAAATATTTCTAGATAGACATTTTCCCAGTTTTCATTACCAATGCTATTTATGAGCCAGAATTTTCCCATATAATAATTATATATAGTTATCAATAATTTGATTATAAAATTTAAGACATTTGATTTTAAGGCACAAGAATTTTCACTCACTTTTAATTTCAGACCCAATTCTTCAACCTGAGCCGGCAGGAATTTTGTATCCTGGAACCTGGGTGCCAAAATAATTCCACAGGAATTTGTGAAGCAGATTTCGGGCTTGTACATGCCCCTGAGACATTCTTCAGAACATAATGGCCTGAAAAAATACAATATAGAATAGAAGGTAAGTTATTTAAATTAATTATTATTAAACCGTTTAGGGCTAGTTGTTTGTCTATCTATTTGCTGTACGATCAGGCGTATTTTACATATAAACAAGCAAGCAAGAATGTTATGATAACAGAATTTTCGATGATACAGTTATCATAAGATTTTTTCCTGCGGTAGTAAAGTAGAAAATGGAACGATAGACAAATAAACTTGTAGAATGATGGATATAGACTGCTAAATAAGTATACAGGTTGACAGGTAGACAGATAGAGAGGTAGATAGGTAAACAGTTGAAAAAGTGAAAAAATTGACAGGTAAAACAAGTGCACAAGTATAAGTAAATATTTACACATGCTACTTGCCTTAAGACAAAATGTTATCTGTAACTAGTTTCGTTCTATATTTTAATTGAATTCAGAGTTTATGATCTCAATAATATTATAGGTCTATGAAAAGTGTTAAAAAAATAAAAATTAACTAATTTTAGAATGCTGGACCTTAGGACATAAACTGTGTATGTCCTAAGGCAACTCGCTATACTTATAAATCACTCATTATACTTATAAATCAATTTATCTCCAGAACATTAACAATCGTCATTTCATTTCGAATTCAATTTCAAAAAAAAAAATAGTTGCCCAATTTGCACAAAATTGAAAAAGTGCTTCCGCATAGTCACAGTCTAAACGCATTTGCATATAATTCTGTGCAACATTTTCACTTATACTGTGCTTAGCTTTTTTTTATTGATTATTTACAAATGTAGGCAACTTGCCTTAAGGCAAAATGCTACTTGCACCTAATTAACTTTCCGTAGGGTATGTTATAGTAATCGCAAAAAATGGAAAATGAAAATGTTTATTTATCTTCACGTTTCAGAGGTTTCTGAACATTTTGACATACCTTAGAAAACATAGGTGTATGTGTGTGTGTGCGGATACAAATGTTTCTGTCGACGATTTTGGGAGCACTGTTTAACCGATTTGAATGATTCATTTACCATTCGATTCCTATTGATAGGGAGATGTGCTTATTAAGTTTTGGCAAAGGCAGGTCCAGCCGTTTCGGAGATACACAGCAAAGAGTGCAGAAAAGAGAAAACGAGTTTTTGAGAGAACGGAGCGTCCAATTTGAATGATCCAAAAAACATGCAATTTGCAATGATTGGGAGAAGTGGTGATTAGATTTTGGCAAAGGTAGGCCCAGCAGTTTCGGAGATACAGTGCTAAATGTTAAAAAATGGCAGTTTTTGAGAGAACTAAGCATCCGATTTAAATGATTCAAAGAACTTTCTGCTTGTTTCAACAAAATAATTGCTTTCGGAAAAAAAAATTTTTGTTTCTAATTTTTTTTTTCAAAAAATATTTTTGTAAATTTGGATTCAAAAATTCAAAAAATTACCCAGGCTAAGTACAGTCTAAGCGCCACTCTGGTACAAATGTTTACGCAAGTGCGTTTAGACTGTTTATGCATTGGAGCACTTTTCCAATTTTGTGAAAACTATTGAAAAATGTGAAAATGCCGCCAAGCTAAGCACAGTATAAGTGAAAATGTCGCACAGAATTATTCGCAAATGCGTTTAGACTGTGCGTTTATACGGGAGCACTTTTTCAATTTTGATATTAATATTGAATATTATAATTTTTTATTTATTTTTTGATAATTTTTTAATTTGCATGTCAGTAGTCTTATTTTTTTAAATTGCTAATAAATTTGCTAAGCAGTATAGTCCTTTTTTATTTTGTTGATTTTTTTAATAATTTGCTCGTCAGTAGAGTTTCTTTTTATATTCAAGATTATGTAATAATTTGCTCGTCAGTAGAGTCCTTTTTTTTCAATTTCTAGATTATTTAATAATTAGCTCGTCAGTAGGATCCTCTTTTCAATATCTGGATTATTTAGTAATTTGCTCGTCAGTAGAGTCCCTTTTTATTTTCTTCTAGATTATTCAATGATTTGCTCGTCAGTAGAGTCTATTTTTCAATTTCTGGGTTAAATAATAATTTGCTCGTCAGTAGGGTCCCTTTTTTATATTCTAATTTTGTGTTAATTGGGCAAATATTTTATTTTGAAATTGAATTCAAAATGAAATGACGATTGTTAATGTTCTGGAGATAAATTGATTTACGTTTACGGTTAATTTGAATTTACGTTTGATTTGCTCAGATATAACAAGATAGCAAAAGTAATAAAAGTTAGTGTATTTGTAGTAATATATTTGAAAACGTTTAAAATTTCTCGAATATTTCATTACGGTACGGGAAGTTCCAGCAATTTGCCTTAAGGCACGATACCATACACCACTAGTTACAATTGTAATAATAATATCTGTGACCAACTTCACAATGGAGTCGATAAACTGTCAAGCGTCCATTTTGAAAACTGTCAAGCGTCCATCTTGTAAACTGTCAAGCGTCCATCTTGCAAACTGTCAAGTGACGTTTTGTAAACAGATTTAACCAAATATCAATGTATCTCTTACAAATAATTAAAAATGAGTTCAAAAAGTGTTAGTAAATTAAAACATATGCCCGGTAACGACATTACAACATTCGGCAAACCCTGCGAGTTCAGTGGACTTAACCTGCCGACAAAACAAGACGTCTTAAGATACTATTTCTTTTTAGCCGAACGTGCAAAGAAAGAAAACAAAATGTTCTCATACAAAACATTCACTCCTATAGTCGCAGACAAATTGATTGAAATTTGGAGCAAACTCGATTGCAAAATTATAAACAGGAAGAGTATACAGAAGAAATTGATTAGTTTTCTTGATAGATATAGGAAAGAAAACAAAAGCAAAGCTCAAGAGTCGTTTAAAAGGTTTGTGAAAACTACTAAAGAAATATTCTATATTGGTAAATGTCAGTGTGATTTGGTAAATTCTTTATGCACCTGTGGACTCATTACGGAGTACTTTAAAGTCTTTATGATGGATCAGTTTAATGAAAGACAGTATACGATAGCGGAGTGCTTTTCTGGAATTTAAGGGGCACGAGGACACATTTGAGATAAAGGAAAAATGCTTTTGATGTAAATCTTTTCCTTCACCGTGAAACAAAAACATTGATTGTGTTCTCGAAGGAACTAGAAACAAGTCGAGACTGAAATTATGGACAAGAATAAGTATTATAAATGCTTTATCAAGAAGAAGCAAAAAGCGCAAGACTTTTTCACAAAACGCAGAAGAATCTGTTTATGAATTTTAATTTTTATAAGTAAGTTTGTTTATATTATTTTTATTTTTGTGTAAAATGAATATTTGGTTTTATTTTCATGAAAAAATAAACACTGTTATTAAAACTAATACTTAGCGCACTTTCAATCCATCTTTGCCTAACCTTTATTGACATACTCTAATATAAAAGGTCGTCTATTATTCACATAAGGGGTTGATGAAATTTAACTTGGGGGATTGAGGAATATAGTAAGATATCACGTGTATTTATTTTTTACTTGATATTTTTCAAAAAAAAATCCAAACATTTTCAATCCATCTTTACCTAGCCCCTATTGACTTACTCGAATATAAAGGGGAATCTATTAATCACGCGAGGTTTTTTAGGGTCATGAAGGGGTTTGACGTGGGGGATGGAGAAGTCCAGTAAAATATCACGTATATTTATTTTTTATCTGTATTTTCAAAAAATCCAAACATTTTCGATCCTTCTTTACCTAACCTCTATTGACATAATCAAATATAAAGGGGCTCGATTAATCACATAAGATTTTTTGGGGGCAGGGGGGTTTTGACAAAATATAACGTGGGGGATGGAAAGGTCCAGTAAAATATCACGTGTATTTATTTTTTACCTGATTTTTTCTAAAAAATTAAAACATTTTCAATCCATGTTTACCTAGCCCCTATTGACATACTCGAATATAAAGGGGCGTCTATTAATCACATAAGGTTTTTAGGGGAACGGGGTGGTTGACGAAATATAACTTGGGGGATCCTTAGAAAATCGATCACGTGACCAATTTGGAGGCGAAATATCAAAGCGCGTAAGCGCCGCGTAGACGTCTAGTGTGTAAACATTGGTACGGAACCCATATAAATGTACACAAAATTTGTACATATTATTATAATCTTTATAATATATCTGATAATACGATGTACATATATCTAATATTCATTTTTGACCGCCAAATGGCATTATTTTTTACTTTTTTCATTGGATTTCCAAAACCGCTAGACCTGCCTTTCAAAAAAATTAATCAGATCTTCATTTTGTCGATACAAGTAAAATGTGTTTTGAATCATTCAAATCGGATGCTCCGTTCTCTCAAAAACTCGATTTCTATTTTCTGCACTCTTTGATCCGTAACTCCAAAACAACTAGACCTGCCTTTGCCAAAAGTTAATCAGCACGTCTCTCTATCAATAGGAATCGAATGTTGTTTGAACCATTCAAATCGGTTGAACAGTGCTCCCAAAATCGTCGACAGAAAACTTTGTATCCGCACACCACACATACACATTTTTTATAAGGTATGCCAGAATGTTCAGAAACCTCTGAAACATAAAAATATATAAAGATTTTCATTTTCGATTTTTTTTGCGATTATTATAGTCAACGGGAAGTTAAACATGCAAAATAGAGAATTTAAACACCTTTATTATTAGTTGAAAATAATATTTTTACATAAATTTATCTTTAGAGGTTTTTGTAATATCTGGCAAATAAAATGTCATACACCCACTACTTCAATTTTATAGAGACCAACAAACATATTTGAATGCTTATTACAGGAAACATTTATATTATAAACAGAAACAATAATGTGTAACTATCAGAAAGGTTAATAACACCATAACGTTAAATGATGTTTGGGTTTTTCTATCTGCTTATTAATTTTTATGGAGCATTAGTGATTTCCGAAACTTTCAAATATTTAAATGCCTATACATCATCAAACTTTATTACTGCCTCATAAAATAGCGTTATTTTATGCTTGTTTATTGGCAGTGAAAATTGTGAAAATATCTATTTATTTGCCGCACGATCAAACGTATTTTACGTATAAACAAGCAAGGATGATTACATAATTCTAGGTGGTGCAGTTTTCATAAGATTCTTCCTTGCTTGTTTATATGTAAAATACGCCTAATCGTACAGCAAATACATAGACATTTTCACTATTTCACTAACAAAAAACAAGCCTAAGATAGCAATGTCACGACAGTGCTATTTTATAAGGCAGAATTGCCCGGTAAATAGCAATTGTACTAAAAATAAAAATAAAAAAATATATATTTACAATCTATTCATATATTATAATTGTGTGCACCTACTATTTATTTATTTTCCAATGCATAATTTTAAATGCTAATTAATATATTTTTCCCACACGATATGTATGTATGTATAATAATTTAATTATTGTTTGTGAGCAGCAAATGCCGCAATTGCAGCAATTTGAATTGCGTCAAAGTAATAATAATAATCGATAAGTATTTTAATTTGTTGTCAAAGATCGAACACGAATAACCGTTATGCAATCGATATTTAATTTAATAAATATGTAATGAACAAATTATACGTTGATAGTAAACTTTATTCGACTTTTTTTTGGATTTACACAATTTGTTTTTATGAAAAGTTCTTATTAATTTTGTTAAATGACTTCAACTTTATTTAGATAAGGTTGCAATGTTCTCTTATTAGTACTAACTTTAAGATAAGATTACACAAATAAGAGAAAGTTTTAAAGTGTCCATTTTTTCATTCTTTTGGTTGCTAATTTATTTGCACATCAGTAGAGTCTTAATTTTTATATTGAATGTTTCCAATCAATTTGCTCGTCAGTAGAGTCCTATTTTTATGTTGAATGTTGCCAATAAGTTTGCTCGTCAGTAGAGTCCTATTTTTATGTTGAATGTTTCCAATTAGTTTGTTTGTCAGTAGAGTCCTGTATTTCATCTTCAAAGTTGAAAATTAGTTTGCTCATCAGTAGAGTCCTGTATTTTCATCTTCAAAGTTGAAAATTAGTTTGCTCATCAGTAGAGTCCTGTATTTTCATCTTCAAAGTTGAAAATTAGTTTGCTCGTCAGTAGAGTCTTCTATTTTTATCTTCAAATTTGAAAATTAGTTTGTTCGTCAGTAGATTCCTATTTTTATGTTGAATGTTGCCAATGAGTTTGCTCGTCAGTAGAGTCCTTTTTATGTTCAATGTTGCCAATTTGTTTGCTTGTCAGTAGAGTCCTATTTTCATGCCGAATGTTGCCAATTAATTTCCTCGTCAGTAGCGTCCTATTTTTATGTTGAATGTTGCCAATAAGTTTGCTCGTCAGTAGAATCCCATTTTCATGCCAAATGTTGCCAAATAATTTTCTTGTCAGTAGAGTCCTAATTTTATATTGAATGTTGCCAATTAATTCGTCAGTAGAGTCCTGTATTTTCATCTTCAAAGTTGAAAATTAGTTTGCTCGTCAGTAGAGTCCTCTATTTTCATCTTCAAAGTTGAAAATTAGTTTGTAGATTCCTATTTTCATGCCGAATGTTTCCAATTAATTTGCTCGTCAGTAGAGTCCTATTTTCATGCCGAATGTTGCCATTCGATTTGCTTGTCAGTAGAGTCCTATTTTTATGTTGAATGTTTCCAATCAATTTGCTCGTCAGTAGAGTCCTATTTTCAAGCCGAATGTTGCCAATTAGTTTGCTCGTCAGTAGAGTTCTATTTTTATGTTGATTGTTGCTAATCAATTTGCTCGTCAGTAGAGTCCTATTTTTATGTTGAATGTTGTCAATAGGTTTGTTGGTCAGTAGAGTCCTCTATTTGCATCTTCAAAGTTGACGCTTTGCGGAATCGGCTTTTATTTTTTTGAACAAAAACATTGTGAAAAAGTATTCAAAAACTTCAAGATTAATTTTGCAGCAAAAAATATTTATTTAATTATCTTGATTCCATGATGAATAAATATTATAAAACAGCCCACATGGATTTAATTAGAGATTAAGTGGCTTATAAATATTCGTATGTGTCATAATACTTGAGTTCACGACAGATGGCGCAAGAATTTAATTAATGGCGTATGTTAATAACAAATATAAGAAACTTTCAATTGGCGTGCACTCTATGTAAATGTTTATATAAGAGCTAATACTATTAGAGATTCATTTTATTATTTATTCATTTGGAAGCAGTTGCGCCCTTGAGAGCAAAAAAATTGAAAATGTCCATATTAAGGACCACCATATATAATATATATATATATATATATATATATATATATATATATATATATATATATATATATATATATATAATAGACAATGTAGATGTCCTTCTTCGTCGTCGTCGTACAATTTTAGAAACAGCCATTTTCCTAGCTTCCTATTTAGATATCAAACGAACAAAAAAAAATATTTTCCGAAACGTAAACAACGTGGGTGGACACAACATCTCTAATTTGTCTTTTGTATAATTCTTCCGAGGCCAAATTGTGAAATGTATCAAAAGCATTTTATTGAAAATAAAATAGTTTCGATTCGATATTCGGGAACTGTGCCAAAGAAACCATTTAGCAGATTTAATTTAATTTCCTTAACAAATATAACTCTGACCATAGGCCTATAATAATTACTAGTGCTAGTCCTCATATGTTTTTCGTTGTATATAGTTCTCAACTGTGACGTTACATGTCTGAGCGAACGTTGCCGACGACAATCGCGGGAAAATGGGACTCTACTGACGAGCAAAATGATTTCCGAAGAAATCCCTAAAAATTCTCAGTGGAAAAAGGACTCTACTGACAAGCAAACTGTTCTTTTAAAAGTACTCTTCATAATTTTTCATAAAAATCATGTGAAACGATTAAAAAGACTCTACTGACGAGCAAAATACATTCTTAAGGTTTCTTTTAAAAATGCAACAAGAAAAGGAACTCTATTGACGAGCAAAATAATTTTCGAATGACCCCTTTAAAAATGCAACAAGAAAAGGGACTCTACTGACAAACAAAATAATTCTCAAAGACACAACTTGTAAATTTCAACCAGAAAAGTGACTCTACTGACGAGGAAAATAATTTTTGAACAATTTCTTGAGAAATAAAGTGACTGATAAATTCTTGATAGATAAACTGACGACAAAACATTTTCTGAAAAATGCAACAAGAAAGAAACTCTACTGACGAGCAAAATGATTTTCAAACGCCTTCTTACAAATTACTACAGAAATATTTTTTGGAACTATCTTTACTACAAAAATAAATACAACGAAAAAAGACTCTACTGATGAGCAATTTAATTTTGAAAGTCGACATAAAAAAAGGACTCTACTGACAAGAAAACTGATTTCGCATACTTTTTAATAATTCCAATAAGAAAAAAGGACTCTACTGACAAGCAAACTAAATTAGAAAATGGGACTCTACTGACAAGCAAACTGAATTTTAAAAAAAAGGACTCTATAGATGAGCTAACTGAATTTCAAGAAAAAGGACTCTACTGACGAGCTAACTGAATTTTAAGAAAAAGGACTCTACAGATGAGCTAACTGAGTTTTAAGAAAAAGGACTCAACTGACGAGCAAAGAAAAGGGACTCTACTGATGAGCAATTTAATTTTGGAAAAACTTCCCTGAAAAGTCGATATAAAAAAAGGACTCTACTGACAAGACAACTGATTTTCGCACTTTTTAATAATTCCAATAAGAAAAAGAACTCTACTGACGAGCAAAATGATTT